AGCAATATCCACATGATCCAACCTGTATAATGCTAATCCTGTTTTTTTACATAACAACGTAACGAATTTGAAAATATCCATACTTCAAAATTTTTGAAACTATCTAAATTATTTTAATGATTAAAATTAGCCAATATATTATTCTATATTTCTAATATCATTATTCCATAACGTTGTTCTTTAACAAATTTATAAAAGGCGTTTTGTCTGCAATTATATAAAAACCCAAAGATGCAGTTAACAATGTGATTTCCAAGAATCAATCGTCTTACTTCAATCCGGTAACGCGACAATTAATTAAAAGTCAAGCGTAAAGTAATTATCCATTCTACCTGAGTCAACCAAAGAGTTAAAATTTCCATCCCGGAAACAATCAATTCCCTTCGTCGAACCACAAGTACATAACAATTCATGGCGGCCTCCAACACTTCTGGAAGGGCCACACGCAATCAACCGGGCTTCGCTTTTGAAATTAATATCTGGAGTCGGACCTGCCGGATTGGATTCAATTTTGATTGGGATTTTCATTGGGTTTGTCTGCACAGAAGTTCCCATGGATTGGCGATATCATTATTACATGAAAGGCAGAGCAGGAAACTAATGCTCCATAAGATAATTAGGGTTAGCAGTTTCGTTTACTCAGCCCACAAGACCCCGTATTTTGAATAATGCAATTAATGACGGCTGGTCTAACCCCTGAAGGCAAGGGAGCCGGCCGCATCTGATTGGCCACCAGGATGGGAATTTCGTTTCCCGAGTTAGACTTTGGGTAGTTTAATGGACTGGGATATGCGCCATGTTGCAAATTTTGTGAATATCTAATGAAATAAGTTGTACATAGTTAAAGTTGGAAATTTTGTAAATAGATTATCCAGTTTGCTGAGGATTTAATGAATTCAATTTTTATAATTAAGAGTCATTATTTGGAATTAATCATGCGTTTTATATAATTAGTGAATGATTATTTTAACATATTTATTGGAGCACAATTTCAATTTATTATTTCACTATTATTAGGCATGCCACATTTGAATGGTATATTTAAGGATTCTATTCTTTCATTTTTGTAGGCTTCTTTTGCAAATTTCTATTAGTATGTAATGATTAAATAAGGGTTCTAAGAAATGTTGAATGGATTTTTTTACCATAAATTATGTATGGAATCTTTCTGTATCACTTCTTCAAAAACGATTAATATGGATTATTTTCCAATAAAAAAACCTTTGTCTAACATTAGCTTATAACTGTCTATGTATCTAATCCTCAGTATTCCCCATTGTGGGACAGATATCCTGTGAGTAAATTTTTAGCCAAATTTTCCCCAGTAGGTTACGGTCAAATATGCATTTTGGGCATAGGGCTGACAACATTACTCCGCTAAAAGAAAAACATCTCATATACCGAAATCTGCTAGTTAACAGACTGCCTTGGCCCACCATATGGCTGTTGCGCCAATGAAGAAGAAACATGTTTAAAAAATATGTTCTTTAAATACATAATTGAAGTATATATAAACTTTAAAAAGAAATATTTGCTTACATTTATAGTGCTTATATTCAAAATATTTTTAACTATTAAAAAGAAAAATATTTCTTATATTCGTCCATTTTCAGATTTATGATTATGAAACGTATTTAATTAAAAATGTTTCAACAGTAAAATAATTATTATATGTTTAAAAAATTAACATTATATTTAAAGAATTCATAAATTACAAAGGACACAATATATTTTCTAAATTGTTTTGCTTTCAAATAAAATTCTATTAATATTTAGTTTAAATTTTTCCGTTTCCTTAATAATTAAATTTTTTTAACTGCAGTAAATATTTGGAAGAATACAAACTTTCAAGCATTAAGACATTTAATTAAAAAGAAACAGGAAAAAATTATATACTCTTATATAATATTCATACTAGAAATGTATTACTCAGAGACTTTTTAGTTATAAGATATATAGTTAATTAAATTTTATGCTTACAATTTCCCCAAAACATAATTTATTCCTAATAGGATTTATACATAAATACATTTTACATCTAATTATTATTTCAGAAACACAAATATAATTATAATTAAATAAATATCCCTTATTTAATAATAAAATAAACATTAATGTTTACCTTAATATTTATTTAAGATAAATTATTAAATTTTTTTTCTTATTTGTGCATTTCACCTTTAGGGAATACCCTCACAAAAATAAATGTCAAAAAGAGATTTTTATTGAAAGAATGCTTTTTATTTTCCCTAATTAGTTTAAGAAAGCTTGTGGCGAATAATTTGATCAAGAAATCTATCCAAACTGAATTATCGTAACAATATTTCGTATCTTTCCAGAGATTTTCACTTTTCTCTAATCACGATAATTACATTGATGCTTTTATCACGAGTTTTATCAAACATGAAATCAAGATAAAAGCGTGGTGTTTTATAATGGGAATGGGAATGAGTTTTATCATGAAATCAATCAGTTTTAATTCAGAGGGTTTTTACCTTTTAAGCATTTTTATTTTATAATGATATGTAAGTGTTGTAAAAATTGTTTTGGAGCAATTTTTACTTAATTACTTTCTTATAGCAGTTTTTTAGTTTTTTACATTTTTAGAGCAATTTTTAAAATTTTTAATGGTTTGCTTTTTTTAGTGCAACATTTAAAAATTTTACTTAATTACATTTTTTTAGAGCAATTTTGAAAATTTTTACTTACTTACTTTTTTAGAGCAATTTAGACAATTTTACTTTTTTTCTACTTTTTCACTTTGAATTTTTATTGAAAAATTAAAGTAATTTCAAAATTTTAAATCATACACATTTCGAAATATTGAAAAAAAATTAATAATGAATAATTATACATTTTTCAATTTTTTTTTATTTTAACTATTTTTCATGTATATTATAAAAAGGTCCAATTCCATTTTTAACAATATAAAATTATTATATACCGATACATAATATTTATACTAGAAACATTATCATTTACAAAGAGACTTTTTCGCTATATAAACTAAACTTAATTAAAATTTATATTTACAACTTCCACAAAACATAATTTATTCTTAATAGGATATACACATAAATGCATTTTATATCTAAGTATAATTCTAGAAACACATATGTAATTATAATTAAATAAATATCCCATATTTAATAATAAAATAAACAATAATGTTTACTTGAGTATTTATTTAAGAGAAATTATTAAATATTTTTTTTTCCGATTTTTGCATTTCACCTTTACGGAAAACCCCCAGCAAAATAAATGTCAAAAAGGGATTTTTATTGAAAGAATACTTTTTATTTTCCCTAATTAGCTTAAGAAAGCTTGTGGCGAATAATTTGATCAAGAAATCTATCCAAACTGAATTATCGTAACAATATTTCGTATCTTCCAAGAGATTTTCACTTTTCTCTAATCACGGTAATTACATTGATGCTTTTATCATGAGTTTTATCAAACAAATGAGATCAAGATAAAAGTGGGATGTTTTATAATGGTAATTGGAATGAGTTTCATTATGAAAACAATGAGTTTTAATTTAGATCATTTTTAGATGTTAAGCATTGTATATTTTTTAAGGATAAATATGTACTGTAAAAAATGTTTTAGAGCAATTTTTACTTTTATGCTTTTTACTTTCTGAATTAGTTTTCCTTCCTTTTTTAATTTTTAGAGCAATCTTTACAATTTTCACTTACTTACTTTTAGAGCAATTCTTATAATTTTTACTTATTTTTTTAGACAAATTTTTACAATTTTTAATTATTTTTTAGACAAATTTTTACAATTTTTACTTACTTTTTTTAGACAAATTTTTACAATTTTTAATTATTTTTTTAGACAAATTTTTACAATTTTTAATTATTTTTTTAGACAAATTTTTACAATTTTTAATTACTTTTTTATACAATTTTTAATTGGTTACTTTTTAGAGCAATTTTTACTTTTATAATTTTAATTTTTTTAATTATTTTTATTTTCTTACTTTTTTAATTATTTTTATTTTTTTTTTTTTTTATTTTTAAATCAATTTGTACAATTTTTACTTACCTTTTTAGTCAATTTTTTAAATTTTGACTCAATTTTTTTAGACTAATTTTTACCATTTTTATTTATTTACTTTTTTTAGATATATTTTTGCTCTAATACGTTTTACTTTTTGAATTATTTTGGATTACTTTTTTTTTTACTTTTTTAAATTTTTAGAGCAATTGCTACTTACTTTTTATAGAGAAATTTTCACAATTTTTACTTTCTTATTTTAGAGCGATTTTTGATTTCTTAACTATTTTTTGTTTTAAAGCAAATTTTACTTACTTTTTTAGAGCGATCTACGTTTTTATTACTTTTTTTAGGCATATTTTTACTTTTAATGTTTAGTGATATTTTTTAAAGGAAACATTAGAGTATTTATAAAATTTTAATATGCATTTCGAAAGATTGAAAAAAAAAATAATATAAAACTATTACAGAAAAGAACAATTTCTTTGATGAATAATTTTGTATTCAAATCAATTATATAAAATCAAATCAGCAAACAAAATTGGTAAAAGATTTGAATTGAATGATTTATAATATTTTTAATTATAGCAAAAAAATTGGCATTTTTACCTAAAATAGGCTTTTCCTTACAAGGACTTTTACCCTCTTTAACAAAAAAAGCAATAAAATGTGATATTAAAATCGGATGTACAACTGTTTTGCATTCCATCATTTATTAGACAACTTGAGCCATCTTTTGAAGCATTGCAAACGAATAATAATGTTGTTATCGTGCCCTCATGGAATGAGGGAAGAGGGGTGCGGCTTCTGTTCTGATGGAGCACCCGTAGGTAGAAGTTTGACTTCTGCTCCGTGACGCTCGTATAAGAGACTGGGACACCAACGGCTTAAAGTGGATTCCGAACCACTAAAAATTCGGGATTCGAACCCGAAACCTGTGACACCGAGCGCCAGAGCGCTAGACACTCGGCCATTCAGGTCCCAAATTTGTGAATGCCAACGGCACGCGGTGTTCCCAGATGGTCACCCACACAAGTACTAACCGCGCCCGATGATGCGGTGATCGGTGCTAAGCTTCAGTGATCTAACGAGAACCGGTATATTCAGCGCGGTATGGCCGTTGGCAACGAATAATAACAATAATAAATAAATTAATTAATTAAAAGCAGCATAAACCCTTAGATTCGCGAAGAAAATAAGATGGCTGAAAGGGGTACGGGCAAATCAGAAAACGGAACTTTTTGGCACCCTAGCTGTTTTCGGGCAAACGCAATTAAGGTATTAAGGGTTACAGTTAATAGAAACATGCATTGTATTTAAAAGCAAAATAATCAAATTCATGATTTAACACGGGGGCATAGAAAATGTGATGACATCAGATATCTATCAGATCATCAGGTCATCTCAAAATAAGATCACACATCATCTGAGAATCAGATCTTAAGACCATCAGAGCATTTAAGAATCAGATAATCAGATTCAAAACATCACATCATCTGAGAATCAGATAATCAGAATCAGATCATAAAATTATTACGATAAGATCATATCATCACATCATCATAATCGGATCATCAATCAGATCATATAAGAACAAGATAATCAGAATCAGATCATAACAGAAAATCATAATCAGATCATCAGAATCAGATCAAATGAGAAAATCAGAATCAGATCATCAACTTATCTGAGAATCAGATAATCAGAATCTATTCAAATCATTTGACAATCCTCATCAAATGTTTCCAACAAAAATGATTTTTCAAAAAATTGTATTAAGAAGTATACGCGTAACTATATTATAAACAGTAACATCATGGAATTCGAGATTTGATGCATACCTCAAACTCGAGAAACGGAAAATCTGATGAACTAAATTTCCCACTTTCGCCGGTATTGCTCCTCCATCTCAAGGCATCAATCGTGACGGGGTCGAGGCCTTGATAACATCGACTTTTCGTAACTCCCATGATTTACTACGGAGCCAAGATGCGGCAGTTCTCCCGGATGATGGATGGCTCCTCGCGCCTCGCCGGAAAACGATTTACCGGAAAAATGACCGATGCGGCCCCCGAAATGATTAAGGAGGGGCCGAGCTAAATTTCCTCACTTAGTTCTTGAGTAATGAAATTAAAACCAAGAACCCCAAATGAGATAAGTTTAAATGAGATAAGTTTCAGTAAGATTGCACGAGGTACTTGTTGAGCAGATAAAGTTCAAGATATTGGACGTTGTAATTGGTTAAGATAAATTGTAAGCAATGGTTAGTTAAGGACATATATTTATCATTACAATGTTCCAATTAAATTTATGTTTTGCAATGTAATTTATGTGATTCATGTGTTTCGGCTTAATATAATATAAATACTTGATCTATCAAATTTAAGTAGCTGAAAAATTACGAAATATTTATGTTTTTATAATTATATCTATAATATTCCATTTAATATTGTGTTTCATAAAATTTTAAATTAAGTCTTCATAGATAAAGCAATTATTATTTTATAATGAAATTTACACTAAAATGTAAAATAATTGGTAACGATTTATTATAACATATTCAGTATGGCAAAGCATAATCTTGTTAACTGAAATTCAGATAATCAGAATCAAACCAGGTCATCTGAGAATCGGAAAATGAGAATCATATCATTAGGTCTTCTAAGAATCAGATCAACAGGTCTTCAAATAATCATATCATCAGTTTATCTAAGAATCAGAAAGTCAGATAATCAAATCATCTAAGAATCAGAAAATCAGTTTACCTAAGAATCAGAAAATCGGATCATCTAAGAATCATATCATCAACAATCAATGATCTAAGAATCAAATAATCAGAATCAGATGATCAGATCATGTGATAATCAAATAATCTGAATCAGATCAATAGATCATCGGCGAATCAGAGAATCAGAATAACATCATCAGATCATATGAAATTCCTGCATCACAATGTCTCCAGTCATCTGATATTATTCAATAAAATATTTTAAGAAGTAAACACGTGCAAGTAACAAGTATAATTAACAACCACAACGAATTCGGGATTTGACGCATACCGCAAACTCGAGAAACGGAAAATCTGATCAACTTAATTTCCCACCTCCTCCGGTATTGCTCCTCCATCTCAAGAAGGCATCAATCGTGGGAGAGGTCGAGGCCGGGACCTTGATAACATCGACTTTCCGTAACCCCTATGATTTACTACTGAGCCAAGATGCGGCACTTTTCCCGGATGATGGATGGCTCCTCGCGCCTCGCCAGAAAACGATTAACCGGAAAAATGACCGATGCGGCGCCCGAAATGATTAAGGAGGGGCCGAGATAAATTTCCTCACTTAATTCTTGAGTAATGGGGATTAAAACAAAGGACCCCGAAATGAGATAAGTTTCTATACGATTACACGAGGTACTTGTTGAGCAGATGAAGTTTCAGGTATTGGCCATTGTAATTGGATAAGATAAATTGTAATCAAAAGTTAGTTAATGTTAGATATTTATCATTACAATGTTGCAATTAAATTTGTGTATGTTGCAATGAGATTTAAATGATTGGTGGGTTTCATTATTTGATGTGATGTATTCCACATATATTTTGATCGATCAAATATAAGTAACTGAAAAATTACGATATATTTATGTTTTTATAATTATATCTATGATATTACATTTAATATTCTGTTTACAAAATTTTTTAAAAGTCTTTATAAATATTTTAATTATTTTTTTCATTATGAAATTTACACTAAAACAAAAATAATTTATAATGACTTATTATATCATATTCAGAATTGCAAAGCGTCTTTTTTTTAACTGAGAATCAGGTATTCCGAATCAAATCAGATCATCTAAGAATCAGAAAATCAGAATCATATCATCTAAGATTCAGAATCAGGTCATCAGATCAATTAAGAATCAGGATCAGACCATCTAAGATTCAGGCAATCATACCACCAGATCATGGGAGAATCGGATAATCTCAGAATCTTCCATCAAAATGTCACCATCCATCTTATATTCTTCAACAAATTATTTTAAGAAGTACACCCTTAACTATATTATAACTAGTAACCTCATCTAGTTCGAGATTCGACGCATACCTCAAACTCGAGAAACGGAAAATCTGAAGAACTTAATTTCCCACCTCATCTGGTATTGCTCCCTCCATCTCAAGAAGGCATCAATCGTGGGAGAGGGCGTGGCCGGGGCCTTGATAACATCGACTTTTCGAAACCTCCATGATTTACTACGGAGCCAAGATGCGGCACTTTTCCCGGATGATGGATGGCTCCTCGCGCCTCGCCGGAAAAAGATCTACCGGAAAAATGTCCGATGCGACCCCCAAAATAATTAAGGAGGGGCTGAATTAAATTTCCTCACTTAATTCTTGAGTAATGGGGATTAAAACAAAGGACCCCGAAATGAGATAAGTTTCTATAAGTTTACACGAGGTACTTGTTGAGCAGATAAGGTTCCAGATATTGGTCATTGTAATTGGTTAGGATAAATTGTAATCAATGGTTAGTTAAGGAGATATATTTGTTATTATAATGTTGCTATTAAATTGTTGCAATTAATATATTGCAATGAAATTTAAATGAATGATGTGTTTTTGCTTGATATACTATAAATATTGTGATCTATAAAATTTAAGTAGCCAAAAAATTACGATATATTTATTTTTTTATAATTATATCTATAATAGTACATTTAATATCTATTATGTTTCATAATTTTTTTAATTAAATCTGCATTGAATAAATTAATTATTTTTAATGAAATTTACACTAAAATGTAAAATAATTGTTAATGACTTATTATAACATGTTCAGTATGGAAAAGCGTAATTTTTTTTCAACTGAGGATCAGATATTCGAATCAAATCATCAGATCTTCTGAGAATCGGATTATCAGAATCAGATCATCTAAGAATCATATAATCAGAATCAGATCATCTAAGTTTCAGATAATCAGAATCAAGTCATCTAATAATCATAAAATCAGATTCAGATAATCTGAGAATCGGATAATCAGAATCAGATCATCTAAGAATCAGATAATCAAATCATTTGAGAATGCTCCCTCATATTTCTCCTGACATCTAATATTCATCTTAAAATTATGCTAAGAAGTATATTTGTAACAATAATATAACCAGCAACTTAATAGAATTCGAGATTTGATGTATTCCTCAAATTTGAGAAAAGGAATATGTGATGACATCATCGTCGAGAAATGAAATATATGATGACATTATCGAAGTGAAATGAAATATATGATGACATCATCGACGAGAAATGAAATATGATGATATCATAGACCTTTAAACATCTATGATTAGATCCTACTTTAAAATGGTTCCAATCATTTAAGATCCTTCAAAAAATATTTAAAAAGTACAAATATAATTATATTATATATACCAGCAACATTATAAAATTCGAGATTCGACGCATGCCTCAAACTCGAGAAGCGAAAAATCTGATGAACTTAATTTTCCATCTCCTCCGGTACAGCCCCACCATCTCAAGAAGGCATCAATCGTTCAGGGGTCGAGGCCTTGATAACATCGACTTTTCGTAACCCCCATGATTTACTACGGAGCCAAGATGCGGCAGTTCTTCCGGATGACGGATGGCGCCTCGCTGGAAAACGATTTACCGGAAAAATGACCTATGCGGCCCTCAAAATGATTAAGGAGGGTCTGAGCTAAATTTCCTCGCTAAATTCTTGAGTAATGAGGAATAGAACAAAGGACCCCGAAATGAGATAAGTTTCTGTAAGATTGCACGTGGTACTTGTTGAGCAGATAAGGTTCCCAGATATTGGACATTGTAATTTGTTGTGAGAAATTTTAATCAATTCTTAGTTAAGGAGAGATATTTATCATTACAATGTTGCAATTAAATTTATGTATTGTAATGTAATTTGAATGATGGATGTATTTTACATTATGTTGATGTATTTTAAATATCTTGATCAATCAAATTTAAGTAAAAGAAAAATTGCGATACATTTATGTTTTCTTAATTTTATCTATAATATTCCATTTAATTTCTCTATTATGGTGAAAATTTTTTAATTCAGACTTCATAAATAAATAAATAATTATTTTATAATGA